AGTAAATATATAATAATAATTTAAACATATCTTTAAACGACTGATTCGCGTCTTTTTGTAAAACGGAGTTTCGAGTAATGATCAATCAGAAAAATGAAGAGGTAGCACCTTGTAGAATAACTTTACTTCAGACATATCTAAAATAGTGCATTACTTGCTGTTAACAGGACAGATGACTTTTGTGAATTATAGATATTTAGATAAAATAGTGAACAATACACAAACTCTGACAGAATCCAGAAGATCCAAAAGATAATAACAATAATAGAGATTAAGAAAACTTGTCTGGCCCTACTCTCGATACAAATTGCAGATGAAAGCACTTATAAAAAGAAAAGTCGCAGATTGGACTTAAATCCTCAAAATTCTTCATTCATTTTTCAACAGAAATAAACATAATATTCAAAAAGATATTTAGTTATGCTATATGGTTGCGTGGCTTATCATACTAGAAGAAACCCTAAAAGATCTATGCTATATCAGTATAATAGATATACGTAAAGATTTCCAAAGTGATGCTGTTCAAAGATGTGTTGAAGACAACCGTAGGTCTTCTTTACAAAATAGAGAATCAAATTATTTCTATAACAGTACGAATAGTCACAGTAAAAAAGTTTAGGGACCACTTGTTATCAACTCGAATAAATCAATAAATATATATCGATGAAATAATTTTTGTATATGTGAACTATTAATTAAGAATATTTATATATATCTATATTTATAAAAAACTTCAAACAAGTGTATATTGTGCATATAAGTGATTATTGCGATAACCAGCTGAGATCTATTGAGGAGGTTCCAAGAACGATCGGATCCACGTCCCGGAGCCACTCGTCGCCAACGACGACCAAGTGCCATTCAACACCCCCCAAAGGGATTTCACAAACAGGTCCCAACGAGTTACAATACTAACATCCATTGACCAGATAATACGAAAAGAATTACGAATACGTATACATGGGTCAGCATGTGGATAGGTGATGGTAGTGTGAGAGGAAAGGCGATCGTTTAAGATTAAAAATGCATTGAGTCAAGGCGGAGAAACCTGATCACTTCAATAGGGCGGACTCAGAGATCGATTGGACTCAAGAAGGTGTGTGCAGTAAGTTTTGTATGAAATATCAAATTTGATATTTGATATTGATGCACTATTGTTAGTATGTTTGTATCAAATAAGACTAATAACTGAAAATATAAAATAATGTCTGTGTGTAAATGACATTCAATTGTGCTATTGAATGAATATTAAATATTAAAAGTGCTAGTAAGGAAGGATGATTTAATAAAGTATATAATGATGAGTAAGAAATCAATATTTTTAATAACATTTTAAAATAACAGCTCTGCGAAATCTACAATGTAATTTATATATTTTTAAGCTTAACAGTTATGCTTACCTTGTTTTTGGTTCATGTATGATTTGAGATTTGAGAAATTCTTTAAGATCTTTCAAAAACATAGTTTTTTTGGGCTCAGGGCATCCTTTCATAGGTCTCGACACTGTATATATTAAATCACATTGAGGACGCATGTGTTTTATAGAAGTACCAGGAATATTTTTCCCAGTATCTTCGTGTACACACCAACAATATGGCGTAGAGCGATAGCATTGAACACGTTGGTAACGGCCATCTGGTGTGCACTCAGGTACATAAAGTATAGTCCCTCCATTCTGTTTTAAGGAAACAAATTGGTTCTGTAATTCTCCAGTTAAATATTATATGTTAAACATACCCTCTGTTCTTCCAATGCAGCATCTTGATCAGCTAAGCAATCCGATTCTCTTTCGGGTTCCTTAAGAGGAGACTCGGGTTTCGGTCGCAGAACTAAAAATACATTTTTAAGTTAAATGTTTTTATCAGATACCCAGATGATAAGTATTGGTATGAGAAGAAATGAAATCCGATATCATGCAATTTAAATGTAATTTTTATTAAATTATATTAATGTAAGGTTAGATGGTATATTATGTCATATTAGGTTTTTGGCAATAGTAACAAACCAGTTACATACTTAAGATGGGTGGAAATTTTGTAGATGAACTCAATGTATTTTGAATGCTTAGATTATCATCATCAGGATCATAATCAACGTCATCATCATAATCATCAAAATTTTGGTTACTTTCATCATCCTCGCTACTATCCAAGGTGTCATGATGACCATTTGGACCATTGACACGGATGGTGTTTACACCATGGCCATTGTTGTTATTGTTGTTGTTTAAATGAATTTTATTGTTATAATTTGAATACGAAGTATGAAGAACGTTATTGTTGCTGTTATTATAGCTGCTGCTGGTTTTACTGGTATTGTGAGTGGTAACGAAATGACCTGCGCATATATTAAATTAACCAATATAAATAAATAATCTAGAAATGTTTATGAAATATTATTAAATGAAATTCTAAATTAATATTCTACTGAAAACATGAACAACCATGAGATTCATGAGTTAAAGAAAAAGTGAACTAAAATGCATGCATATTTTATATTAGAATGTAGGAGTATTACTGATAAATGTAGATAAAAATATTTTTATATCTAGTCATGCTCTGGAAGATGATGCCTTACAATAAAAAAATAAAATATTTTTTATTAATTCTTTCATAAGTAGACAGACATATAGTATAGTAACATGTGGTCGTTTGTTTCCATAATTTTGAAGTCTGTGGTGAGACATGCTTAAAGTAGAAGCTTCGATTAAAGTCTTTAAGTCATCATGCTTTTCATTCTTATAACATTTTTACTCAGTTAGTCAGTGCAACAAGCCTATTTTCAAATGAATGCATTATTTCCTTAATATATATACCTTAGCAGTGGCGTAACTATAGGGAAGCAACTGGAAGCAACGCTTTCGGGCCTCCGAATTTATGGGGCCCACCATAAATTTTTGTATTCATTGTATTTATTTTTAATAAATTCTCAAAAGTGGGACGAAACGTTTTTGGTTGGAATAACTTCATATTGCATTTTATAAAAGATACGTAAATTTTAAATTTAAATTACATAATATGTATGTACTTCAAATAAAATATTAAACCTATTTATAAAATAAAAAAGTTTTTCTAAGAAAAATATGTGTCTTAATCGAGAGACTTATATGGAAGCTATATCTAGATTTAAACCTATTTGAAAATAATTTTGTACGTTGCCTTTTGCAAATATCAGTACTGTATACACCAAATTCCATTTGAATACCTTTATTAAAAACGGAGAAACCTCATATCCGATTGTTAAGTTTATATCACAGATACAAGAAATAGACGTCCAATTTCAATTAAACCAAATGGCTTCCGAAAAGTATGTGTGTAAAGTTTCGTTCGAAGAGTTCAAAAGCTGAGAGAGTAGTTTGAACTGAAAAAGTATATATATATTGTACTGATATATACTTAATGATATTTCCGACGTTTCCTTTAATGCGTTACGAAAATCTTGACAAGCCTTATATATCCTTTTTACATTTTTTCGTGTAAAGAGTATAAAAAGAGGGGCCCCTTAGAATGTTGGTAGGGGCCCCTTAGTTAGAATTTGCTTACAGGCCTAAAAAATGTAGTTACGCCACTGCTCTGCTGCATGTAATTCCTCGTTAATCTCGTAGATTAAGTGGGATTTCTTAGCCCTCAACTTAATCACTCAAAATCAAATACAGAAGGGTGAAAAGATGTGATATTACATTGAAAGTGATTCAATACAAGTGATTCAATGCTTTACAATAACTCTGAAAGACTTGATTTCATGATAGTGCAAATCCTTAGTCTAACAGTCAGTTTGATATTTAAGCTGTAGATAAATATTTTTTTGAATAAGAGTGAAATTTTTATGTTCATATAATTTTTATGTTTATAATTATTATCAATTATAATATATTTAGATTTAGATTGAACAAAATACCGAAAACAATTTAAAACTAACAAGAAATCTATAATTGTTGACTACAATTTCTTTCGAATAAAATACATTAATGGAATTTATTGATGAAAGAACAACAACAAAAAGACAAAACTACAAGTTTAAGTAACGCAAATAGAGTACGGTATTAAGGCATGTATCTAAACTCCGATTCTGCACTTAACACTTCGCAGTGTATAAGTTCAACTATTATTATGTTGAAGCTATTTAAACCAGTGCACCTGAGCACTTTTCTCTTTCTTAACTCGAGGTATTTTCAAAACTCCTCTTTACGCCTTGTCTGGATAATTGTTTATCACTTCATCAAACTAAACAATAATTGACCTTAGATCTGCATACCTCTCCGAGGAGCCTGTAATTATTCTGAGATTTGATTACGTGGTGTTGGTAAGTCTGTCAGTTTTCGCAAATAATTTAAGGACTCTATCTTTTATGTATTTTTTGATGGGATCAGTCTTGAGGTCCCTGAGGATGTCATACGTCCTAATGTACCATGGTACTTTGAAAGTTCAACTATTAATACTTGCAATCTAAAAATTAAATGGGAAGATTTCAATTTAAAAATATTTTCAAAAATAACAATGGGATATTTGGTTTAAAATAGTCTACTCAAAATAGCTGCATGTTAATTCAATAATTAAATTAACTAAAAATAAATTTATATTTCTGTAGATAATTTCTTTTCAACACTTTAAGATTATCTTCTCATTTATAAAAAAAATTTTTTTATATTGATTTTTATTTTTTATTGATTTAAAAGCAAAATATTTTGCTTTCCAGCTGTTCCATTAAACATATTGCTTAATGGATCTTATTGAAGCAATGTTGCTTTAATTTGTATCTACAGTTTCTAATTTTAAGTAATCAAATTTAATTACTTGCTATTAATTTAATATCATAAATACTATGCAAATGTAGCTGCAAGTTATCATTCGTTTGCGTTTATAAATGTTAACACTTGGAATATACAATTGGCAAAACAGATAGATATTTATTTCTAAATTTTAATTAATTAACTATTACTTCCAGTTGTATTATTTTCTTTTGAATGCTTTTGAGCCAACTCAAAAGAATTCTATTGAATTCTTTCTTAAACCCATACTTTACTTTTTATTGGCAATCAACTTCAGAAACTTCAAGTTAATCTTGTCATTTGTATGAGTTCACGGGTTAATGTTTTAATTTCATATTCAGCAGAAGTATTTCAACCTATTTTCTAGTATTGCAATTTAGTGTGTTTTACCTTGGTCAGAAAAAGTTATACCCAGTAGCGGAGCTAGACCAACTCTGCACGTCGGCGACATCAGAATTGCGAGGCCCCCTTTATAACCCAGTTGTAAAAGTAAATAAGTTACATTCACTAATAAACACAAATTAAAATAAATGAATTTTCCTACTTTTAGTATCACCCTATTTTTTTTTAAATTATATCCTAATGAAGATAGTCTCTCTTGGACCATCATATTTTTCTAGTACGTCTTAAACAATTTTAACTTTGCTTCTTTCTTTTCGTCGAAGCTACACTGACTGGAACTGTGAACATGAATCTGATTACTATATAAACATTAGGGAATACTTCGAATATAGTTAATGACATTATCAAACCAAATTGCTCAAAATATTTATTAAGTGCTTAGAATCCACAGTCGGTAACTTTTTGCGAGGCCGCTGCGGGCGCGAGGCCGTCGGCGGTCGCCGACATCGCTGACGCCTAGCGACGCCACTGGTTATACCATTCGGTAATGACTTGCTTACCAATACTGACGGTGCACATATATTTTCTTACAACATTTAAATACAGATTCTGTATGAAAATACAATAAAGTTTTTAAAATTCTTGAAACCTCACCTATAAATGTATATTTACTAGATTGGCGGTAATTTGAGATTTAGAAAAAAACAATAAAAGAAAAAGTTTAGTTAGACTTCATTTTGTGTTTGCGAATAATTTTTCTACTTGAATCTTGATAAAAATATTATCTCAAAGTCAGCGAATCTGTAAAGCTGAATCTGAGACAAGGACACAAATTTGCCGAAAGCCAAATGACTTAACAAAAGGTAAATAATATATTTAAAAAATAAAAAAAATTTTCTTTTTTTTATTAAAGAAAAATATTAATTTATGCAAATAAAATTTTTTATTCAAATTACTACAAACAATAGCACACCTGTGCAAATTTCTTACTTTTGATTAAAATGTCATAAATATTAAATATGAACCATAGTCAATAATTAATTGCATCCGACTGCACTCGAAACGGAATAAAGTGCTCTATTGTAGTAACCATTTTTTAGAAGATTGAAATCATTGTAATTAATTAATTATGAAAAAAGTTTGCTGCAAGGCTAACCAGAAAGGTAATCCATTACATTTAAGAAAGTAAACCCTGCCAAGCCTTTTATATAACATTTAGTTATTTTCATGTAAAATAATTCATATATGTATAATAAATTCAAAATGCTATTTCTGTAGTTTTTCACAAAATATTAATACAGACTACTTAATTAATTGGAAAATTCAACAAATAATGCAATAAATTAAATTAAATTTATAACTGCAAACAGAAAGCTGATCTACAGCCAGGTAATCAGAGCAGCACTACTCTATGGGTGTGTCGCATATAGCACAGCTGCCAACTCTATTATCTAGAAGCTGCAAGTTGGTCAAAGTCAGACTTACCAAAGACTCTTCAAAGTGCCTTGATACATCCGCACAAATGACATGCTAAGAGGCTTTAGAATAGACACGGTCAAAAAATACATAAGAGACAGAGCCCTGAAGCTATATGCCAAAACCGACAGGCTGCCTTATTTAGCACTAAGTAATCTCATAATACGTAATCTCTAACCGCACGGGGCGGTATGCAGATCTTAGATTAGTAATCGAATAATTACGAAGTTTTTGAGAAATACATAAATTAATAAGTGAGAAGGATGGGACTCTACAGAAACCCTCCAGTTATCAAAGAGTAAAAATGCCCAGATGCACTAACTCGAAAAAGACTCAACATGAAGATGAACAACTGCGATTAGATATTAGGTACCAGAAGAAATTCATTATCATTCATTTAAACAAATATTTAGTTGACGAAAATCGGTGAATTATTGCAAGCCAATAATGTGTTATACTTTATTTATTTACTAAGACTCAAAAAATTATTTCATTTCAATAAACGAAAAATTCGTCAACTATTTTTTATTTGTAGATTTTGTTTATGTGAACTGAAGTTCGGTCACTAGTAACATAGAAACGGTTACTACAAACGATCGGTTCAAATACTGATAATGTTCCAATACTAAATTACACTCGTAAGTTTTTAAATCGTTTATAGAAAACATATTGCATTTGTGGCAATTGTTCTCCAAACAAAATCATTTTTTTAGTGTGTTATTACCTCAATCAAAATTCTGTTCACTGTCTT